ACCTGGCGACAGCAAATGAACTCGTTGACTTCACATCTTGCCACCATTGGATCCACACGTCTGCCTGGTTGGGGACCAAAGGACGAGGAGTGCCGATGGGTGGAAACAATTCAGGATATGGCTGGTAATCGAAACCACTAGAGTATCTGTGCATATAACTGCTTAGATTTGGATGCTTAACGATTAAAAACGACAAAAATTAAAAAATTGCGTGTACTAAACAACAAAAATTGCTCTTTTTTCTGTTGTGGCACAATAGCTGAAGTGTGCTGCTCATCTTCAGTTAGTTTGCCTTGATGCTGACATGGTGTTCAGTCTGTCATTTTTTAATGATTTCCATGGTTATGTTTGACTCTCTAGTAGACTGCTGACTATACTGCTACTACTAAACAATACAGCGTGCAGAATAAAAGCCAGAAACAAGTTAAATAATGCTTCGTTATCGTATTATGCATCCCTTGCGAGATGGTGACTTGAGGGAGAAGTTAACTGGAAGGGAGATTCAAAGAAACTAAACTCAAATGCCATTGAAATCAGCTCCTCACCATGTCAGCTAGTGTTTCCAACCAAACGTGTTCAACATCTTTGGTTCCCCAGCTCGGCCGTCGGGAGGCACAAATCGACGCCGAGGGTCTTTCATTCCTCTTGACCAAGTCATCTCTTGGCCTCCCCTCCTCTTCTTCCATACAGGCCCCGGTCGCTCAAACAGCACACATCGCAGGAGTCAGTGAGCAGGCGTACGCATTGCGGGACCGAACCATCGAAGCCTGGTGCGTGACATAACGATGTTTAGCGGTTCACTTCTTCTTCCTATATCATAAACAAGGAAGCAAACATGCCTATTACTCACGCAATGTTTCCACCAGATGTGAGCTAAGCTGCAAATGTAGCGGTGATGGAACGTCATTAGCCCTTTATTTCTCTCGATTAGTGGACCAACTTTCGCAACTATACAGGAGGGCTGAACGCATAGCTGCATTGTAATTTATGCTGTTCAGGGCAAGAATGATGTTGCGCCGGAGCCCCATGTGACGAAACTTGAGTAAAGCGGCCATCGCTTTTGCTATGCGGCTCGTGACCTCGTCTTCTGTTCCACACACGCTAGTATAGCTGCCTAGCTACGTCAAACTGATCACCACTATGGGCAATCGTAGAAGTGAGTCCCTGCCAATCTTGGAGAGCTTTGCGCTTCGAAAGTGCAAGGCGTAACCAAAAAAGGTTGACAGCCAGTGCTTTTTGGTACAGTTAGAGCGCCATCCTTACACGTTGTTTTGTTGTCGCTTATCTCGATCTGGGTATTCCGTAGTTAAATTTGCTAATCCGCCATTTCCCACGAGGCGGGTCGTAATCGCAAGAGCTTAGTTTGCCACGGCCGTTTCGTGTGTTGGGCATCACACTGATCCCAATAGAATACTAGTCCCGACTCGAACCTATCTCCCTTGTGTCCTACAGGTCCAGCTTTTGAGTCAAAATACTCTGAACAGCGTATTTCGAAATGGGTAGACAAATGTCATTCGTTTACATAATCTTGCTGCTTGCACTCCTTAGATTTCCCTTCTCTTTCTATACAACTATCTTCTTTGGGTAGTTAGCAAGTCTCCCGCTGAATTCACAGCTCATATTATCAACAAACCTATCTTGTATCATTTCACATTGGTTCCTTTGGCACCACGTTTGACCCGTAGAACTCCACATATATTGTTTACTGGCTCTTATCAACAACCTGTTTATGCTAGCGGAGTCCCTTTTCCACTCAGTTTCACAGAAAATCGGGAAAACATCGTCATCAACCACAGTAGTACATCAGCCATTTGAACTGATGCTTCGCTGCCATACAATCATGATGACCTATGAAATAAAGAATAATAAGTGGGAGAGAAAAGGGGACTTACCTGAAAACCTTAATGCCCTAAGCAGGCATTCAGGGTCAAGGCGCCTACACCTTGTGTAGACAACATACTGTCACAACCAGCTGGCTATCGTGCAAGGCGGCATCGGCGAGACAGCTTCTTGCGGCTTTCACTGCCACGTGTCATACTCAGCGATTACCCCGCAGATAACTCAGCAACAAACACACTTTACACTGGCAATCCGATTACGAGACGGCAGCAGAGGCTCCACTGTTGTCGGTTGCGAGCCATGCCCTGTTTTCGAGTTTTTATATTTTGTTTTATTATGGTAAGGAAAAGGGATCACCGCAACGTGCAGAGATACACGTCGGCCTTTAGCTATCACTTCCAGGGTCTCCAACCAACGACGCCTTGTATTTCTGTGACCGAAACTTGGGAGTTGCGAACAATTGACCGAGACCAACTGTTTCGTCTGCCTTTTCATGTCGCTTTTTCAAGTCGTAGGTTGTCCACTTTGACGTCTCTTACAGCCATGTCCAGTTGCCGAGAACAACGCCCGACGCGGAGGGCGCTAAGCAGACATGCGCAATACGTGTCCAGTCCACCGTTATTGACGGAGTGTGGTAATTTAACGACGCAGCCGCGACCTTGGTGGGGCCCATCCTGTTCTTCCCGCAGCAGTGATTCGCGCGTTGGGGATAGCCTGCGAAGTATGATGAACACCAGAAGCTTGCAGACAACGGAAATCTTACTTATACCCCTTTAATTACAGCTCATTTTATGCATTCCCTTTTTGCAAATTAAGACGACTACCGACTTACCTTAGAACGATGGAACCCTCTCTTTTGACCAGACTTATGAGAACAAAGCTATGAGTTCTCGAACCAGCGAATAGCAAGAGGTAAACCATCAGGGTTGAGTACTTTATAATACTTCAATAGGAGGAGTTCCTGCCAGATTTCTTTGCGTGAGTGAGGATCTCTGGCGATAGACCGCTCAACACTAGTGAGCGCCCCAAAGGAAGCAGATGGAGCTGGCGACCAGCCAAATTGCAAAATATGTTCAGCCCTCCGTTCCAACCGTCGATGAAGATTAGTGATCAGTGAGCCGTCGCTTTTGCAAATTATTTCACTTACACCAGATTCGAAACCTTCCGTGACTCAGATGAGATGGAAGAGTTTTCTGGCGTTACCAGAGAGACTAGCAAGTTCCATCTCTCCAGCACCTTCACACCACCAGGCGTTTTAGTCCTTGTGCGATTTTCTAAGCAATTCACGATTCAGCAATGTTCCTTCTTCACTACCTCTGGTATCGGCTGGGACCGCGCGGCGTTCGCCAACCAGCGGCAAGGAGACAGCAGTGATACAGCTTTTCATTGTGTTACGGGCAACTCCACTGCTGTCAATGCTAGCTCCGTTTACACTTGAGTTAACTCGATGAACCACACACCCTCTCAGTTTTAGCGCCTTTGGATTGTCGGGAGGCAGATGTACGATCTAGTTAACTAAAAGCACTTGATATACCCATAAGCAAGTACTTTCTGATGATATTAAGTGAGGTTTGTTCACAAGCCCAGAAAAGCAATGAACAGCCGTCTTATCCTATCTGAGCTCGTCATTAGTGCGCATCCATCGCCTGCACCAGTTACTGAACCCATGATCACAACCGTTTGCATCCCTAACCAGCAGCTTATGCCATGGAGAACGGCGACAGACCGTCATCAGTTACAATTCAACTGCGATATAGCTCAACTCATCTTCCAATACCATGCTAGTTACGAACGTTACAGAAAGTAAGGCTAGTCCCGGAATTCACGGCTTCAACTAATGACCCCTTTCATGGCGTGACATTTAGTAGTGGCTCACCGTCCGTCTTCTTTGCTGGCATCTTTTGGGATGCTTCAAACCGCTCTGTTTCTTTGTGGTAAGTTGGCCTCCAAGATACTGAACTTGCATTTTCTCCGTCTTAGGATTTCAGAGGAGTTTGTTAACACCGATTTCCCACTGACAGTCAGGATATTTGACTCGATCAGGATGTGATACCCCGATAATTTTTAGGGTTCCTAAGAATACAATGTGTTATTTTCTATTTGCACAAATTTATGAAATAAAAGAATTGGAACTCATTAAGCAGCTATTTCAGTTATTTATCTGTCTGTGCAAACTTAATGACATGTGTCCGTCTCGACAAGAATGAACCGTAATGTGGTGCGATGGTTTGCCTACCTCAACGATCCATTGAACTGTGCTATTAGGTGCTTCTTCTCCTTCAGATTGCTCAAAGGTTAGAAGCCATACCAACTCAGTATCCTGGCCTTCCAAGTTGGGGATTTTAATGAGAGTGGCTCCTTACTCCGTATACGGACTCTATAGCCCATTGCCAAAACCTAGCTGCTTTCTGGTCAGGCTTTCGAACCGAAGGCTTTGCTTGAGCACCCTAATGGTTCTTCTGTCTAGGCCTAGGCAACTTGACGGTATCTTGCCCACACAGTACAATGAATTATTTTCAAACAATTTCCTGACTCTAGCGGTCGCACAGGGTAATCAACGGTCCCCTATCTGCTGCATCTAGCAGGGTGGATAGGGGTTTGGGTGCTAATGCTCTGGCCTCCCCGTCTTCTTATTCTCCCTCCTGCGTTTTTGATCCTTATCCTCCCGTTTCAACTTCACTTTTATCCCCATTTTTAGCCACCCAGCTCTTGGCTCTTCCCATCTTGCTTCAATAGTTTCAACTCACGTGCAGTCGCAGGGCGTCACCTTGGTCCACTCAGCAAACCCGTAAACATTGTTTTACTTGCTTTTTAGTTTTTGTATTCAGCAATGTTTAGTATCTCTCTTCATTTACATAACATCTTTTGTACTGCGGCACAGTTAGCTGAAGTGTGTTTCTCACACTCAGCGAATGTATGATTATGATGATCATGACTGGTGGATAACCCAGTCATCAGCTTTTAGTCCACTCAGCACTTAATATCCGTCCATCTTGTACTCTTTTTAGTCTCTACGCATGTCTACTTTGACATACTACTCATGCCGTTTGCAATTTTATGCTTTAAAACCATGGAGCATTCTGCCTTCCACTGGAAATTTGTTCGCACCCCGCCCAACTTTCCACTCCAGTCTTATGAACCTTCTCATCGTTTGCTTGCAGTTTTTACCTGGCTGAAATCACTTTGGCGATTGGTCATTTGCACTCCATGGGAATAATCTATCGTGATTTAAAACCCGAAAACGTACTTCTTGACATTGAAGGACATGTCAAGCTGACGGACTTTGGGCTGTCTAAGGAGCGAGTCGATCGGGATAATCTCACGCATACGTTCTGCGGAACCATCGAGTACATGTACGTCTTCTGAATACACGTAACTTTCCGGTTTTATATCCCGTCTTCCTGATTCAACGAAACATTGCTGTGGCGCTGATACTAACTGATCTACTTTTGTCTCGATATTTATTTGCATCGCTACCGCGGATTGTCTCATCAACAACTGCCCACTTTCTATACTCATCATAGTTCCCATGCTAAGGTTTTGTCTCGTGTTACCCGGTTTACTATCTCTATTTGACGTTCCTACTTTTTGCCCCTTCAAATGTGCCTAGAAGCCCCATAGCTCATAACGATCAACGAGTGCTCTTGTTCGAACCTCTTTATCTTTTACATACCAATGTATTCGTATTCCCTCAGGGCCCCGGAAATTCTCCTACGTCAGGGCCATGGGAAGGCAGTTGACTGGTGGAGCCTGGGGACTCTCATGTACGATATGTTATCCGGAGCCGTAAGTTTCCACTTTGTCAATTGATTTGTTTTGCACAAACTACCTTAAGTAAGAGACACATTGTTGATTGGGTTTTGGAACACACATGCGGATAGGTGACGACACGCATTCTCCAGGTAGGCCACGATTCACTTTGGAGTGAAACTTGGTCAATCAGATCATTGTGTCTAAAACAGAGAAATGTAGACTAGGTAAGAAACGCTTTTACTTCAAATGTCTTTTGACAATCTTCCTGATTTTTTAAGCTTTCCACACTTTGTGCGTGCCATCAGTTGTGGACTTTTTCGGTCCGTATCCTAGAGATAACAAGCTTGTCTCCTAATCTTGTGGCCCGGGTTCGAATCCGCGTAGGGGTGGGCGTCCTGGCGGTATACTCAACTAGCGTGCAACTGTTGGTGGTCGCACAGCAACGAAGGGTCTTTACGGCGTACAGCTGACACATTTTTAGTATTATTTCGCAGAATATCCATAGTCTTCGCTCAAAGATAAACTTTATTTGTCTGCCTTGCTTCATAATTGTCTGGTTCCCTATGCTCGGACTACCATTGTTTTCCGTTTGCTTCAGCGGACCCGACACAAACTTGGTTTTCTCTGTTAGTAACCTAGTTTATTTACTCCTGACTGGTGGACTTTTGACACACTTTACATACTTCGATTTCTGAATAGTGGCGCCAGCTCCTATGCATTAATTTGGATTAATTTCACTATCCATTCAACCCCTAGCCTCCGTTTACCGGTGAAGATCGGAAGCAGACCATCGACCTCGTAAGTTACAACTTCATTCTAGTGCATCGTCCTGTATTGTCTAATCTCTGAAATTACCCTATCCAAATTACCCGAAACCCTGGTAGCTCAGATTGGTTGTTCAGAGGTTCGTATGCTCTTCGAGCCTCCGGGATGGTCCACACCAGTGATTAGTGTCTATCAGAAATAGCGCAGTCACCCAGTCATTGGAGTCCCTGGATTCTATTTCTTGTATCCAACTGTTAACTTTCCATCCCGATTCGTTTTGCACATTCAACCTCCTTTTGTTACCGTTGCTATTTCCTGTTAGTACATAAATAAATACATGCTTTATTCCCGGCAGTGCGAGGCACTCCTGTGAAGGCGTGATCATGATATACAAACAGGTCCGATCGGTAATTGTACAAAAATATAGCAAGGCAAACATAACGTACTGGATTTGTGTGTATGGATATATGTAGGTGTTTGTGTAAGTGAACATGGTGTGTGAATTCGTGAATTTGTTTGCTGTGTTCGCCATCATATGAAGGGATCAAAGGAACTCTTCGAATTGTATGACATTCTTGAGGTGGAGAAGATCCTCCGGAACGGAAGAGGCAGTGACTTTATTTAGTGGCGAGTCACATCCGCCACGTCGCAGTGTTGTTAAACAGACATTTGTGGCTTTTTATAGGGCGAAAATCCACCACCAAACTGTTCGCTGGAACGGGAGAAACCCGAACCACCCAGCTGGCACCACGTGGAGCTTGTTTGGCGATGTGAGTCGTGACAACTGCATCCCCGCACTTCGGTGCCTGGATCAAAGTAGTTTAACTGAACTCATACTTGGATTGAAAACGTTTCATTGATATATATACTCATGAGTGGGGGATTTTTGATGTACTCGCTTGAGCTTTCGTGATAGCAGCTTCCAGATCCAGTTGCTTGGAGAAGGCGGGCCCGTGGTCGAGAGGCTCATATGCGTACCTTGTAATCCGGAGGTCACGAGTTCGAGCCTGCATAGGGCGGCCGTCTCAGTATCCTCAGTCCACGCGCGACTGGTGATGGTTGCGTGGCTTCCATGCGTATTGCTAATGCCTTTTTTACTGCCAACCGAAGTGGCATCCTCACCAGAGTTTAGCAATAAGGCTGTTTGCCTTTGAATCACTAGAGGTGAGTGACGTCTTGACTAGGGGCTTATTGTTGTTGAGCGAGGTTTTTTGGCGGTTCTATCGGTTCGACAGAAACATTGCCGTAAAATTTGCCGTTTCGTTCGGGGTATGCATGTAACTATCAGCAGTACAGCAATAGTTCATTCTCATACTTCCCTGCCACATAACCACAGAGGGTAAAATTTGGGCTGAAACACGATTAAACACCTGGTCCCAAACGGGCGCCGGAAACCCCAGCCCGTTCGTGGTCCACTTATTGGGTTGTGCCGCAGCCACTTGTGGTCTTCATTTTACCCAATTTTTTACTTTATTGATTGATATAGTAGGTCTATGACAGTACACACTTAGGGTATTCTTCGTCCACCAGGCTTTGAGGATTCTTTTTGTTTCTCTCCCTCATCTTTCTCTCCTAACCGTCTTTATGATACTTGCTTCGCACATCCGGTTTTTGACATTTTGTCGTGTAACCAGCATTCTACCTTACTTGTACTCTAGATTTTCTCATTAATTTCTGCAGCTCAGACTAGGTAGTTCGTGTCCTGCTTTTAGGTGTTCTTGGAATGGTCCGGCATTTGTTTCAGCTGTTACTCATAGGCGGCAAAAACACTTGTTTCTTAGTCATGTGTGTATAGGTTAAGCGTTTGCTGTTCTGTTGGTTAACCATTTTCGGACGAAACTGCTCGTATATTCAATCATCAACAAATCCGAGTGTAGTGACGTTCGAAAGTGGCCTGTATTCACCAAGCACACCGTTTATTGTTGCGCATTAGTGATATCGCTCCGTTTTGCAATGGCTTGCTTGTAATGTTTCTGGAACCTAGAGAGCACATATATGCCTGATCTCTGGCTTGCTCCGTGAAGTTACTGCAAACCCTTTTACTCATTTTCGTCCGCGTATTAAACAAACGCTAACTCATTTGTGGGCGGACGGCCCTTCCGACAAGGTGATTCGCACTACTGATCGCTTATGAACACCGGTCTTTTCTACGGGCGACTATTTCTCCTGGTTTCGATTGCTGCAAATCCGAGCCCTTGCTAGCCCAGCAATTAATCGAGCCCATGATATATTGAGTTTGGCAGTCAATAAGCGAAACAGTGGGTTCTACGTCGCTATCGTTGTTTGCGGTTGCTGAACAGAGCTGGTGGACAGTCTACAACTTGGAGAAGCCGCATGAAAAAGCTGACGAAACAGTTGATCTCGGTTGGTTGTTGTCGGCTATCTGGTTGGGGTCCGAGAGATGCGGATACTTGCTGGTTGAAGACCTTGGAAGGCATGGCTCAAGATCGTTGTCAATGGCGGACGTGTGCATCGGTGTGTTGCGGTGTCCCTTCTTCCTCACCTAAAAAGCAACTGAAAAATTTCAAAAACTGGGTGGGAAACTGGACAAAAAAGCCTTTGTTGTTGTTGTTCTCTTATTAGTATTATTATTCATACTGTATTCATACATATATACATATATATATGAATACAGTATGAATAATAATACTAATAAGAGAACAACAACAACAAAGGCTTTTTTGTCCAGTTTCCCACCCAGTTTTTGAAATTTTTCAGTTGCTTTTTAGGTGAGGAAGAAGGGACACCGCAACACACCGATGCACACGTCCGCCATTGACATCGATCTTGAGCTATAACTTCCAAGGTCTTCAACCAGCAAGTATCCGCATCTCTCGGACCCCAACCAGATAGCCGACAACAACCAACCGAGATCAACTGTTTCGTCAGCTTTTTCATGCGGCTTCTCCAAGTTGTAGACTGTCCACCAGCTCTGTTCAGCAACCTCAAACAACGCACGACGCGGGTAATGCTGGACAGGCATGCGCAACACGTGTCCCAACCACCGCAGTTGATGCAGTGAGACGAGCTCCTCGAGCGAGTGGCTTTCACGTCCCAAGACACGCTGTCTAACTTCCACAGTGCTTACGTGGTGCCGCCACTACACACGGTCAATGGACCGCAGACAGCGGTGCTTGAAGACGGATAGCCTGCGCAAGTCATCTTTACGAATGGGCCAGGTCTCGCATCTGTACAACAGTACAGCACGAACAGTTGCACAATGGACCCGCCCTTTGATGGAGAGACGAATGTCGTGGCGACGCCACAAGTGCGTCAGCGTAGAAAAAGCGAGGCGTGCTCTCGAGATGCGCATCGAAATCTCGTCTCCAACAGCCCCGCCAGCAGTGATGCAACTTCCCAAGTAGACAAAGCTCTCCACAACCTCTAGTGTCTCACCAGTAAGTGTGAGTGCAGGCAGAGGCACCTGCCAGTCTTGGAAGAGAGCCTTGCATTTGGATGGCGAAAAGTACATGCCATACTTTGATGCTTCAATCACCAAGCGGTTTAGTGCAAGTTGGACGACGTGTGGATCGTCACCCAGCAAAACGATATCGTCAGCATAATCCAAATCAACAACTCGACTACCTGGGAGGAGCTCAACGCCAGCGTTCAACGAATCGCCCAGAGCGTTCTTTAGGACATCCTCAATGGCAACGTTGAATAGGAACCGAGAGTTAGGGCATCCTTGTCGAACTCCACTGGAGACCACAAAGTTAGGCGAAAGCTTACCATAAGCCCTAACCCTGCCCGAGGTCAGACTATAGAGAGCGCGCAGTATGGAGACGAACTTCTCGGGGACACCATTTCTCAGTAGGTAGTGCCACAGTACCGTCCGATCGACAGAATCGAAGGCTGCACGGAGATCCAAGAACATAGCAATTGTTGGCCTCTGATACACATGGCGGAGCTCGAGGATCTGGCGGAATGTGAAGATTTAATCGATGCATCCGCGACCAGGGCGACACCCAACTTGTTTTTGTTGCAACGATTTGCACGTTGGGGATAGCCTGCGAAGTATGCTGGACACCAGCAGATTGCAAACGACGGGGACTCAGCTTATGCCTCTGTAGTTTGAGCAGATTGTGCGCAGGCCCTTTTTGAAGATGGGGACAACTATCGATTCACCCCAAGATGATGGAGCTTTCTCTTTCGAGAACAAAGTAATGAGTTCTCGCACTACCGAAGCGTCACTGTCTTTAAATGGAGTTGGAGGAAGACCATCAGGGCCGGAGGATTTATAACGCTTCATGTGCCGTAGCTCCTGCTCGATTTCCTGGGAAGAGGGAGGGTCTGTGGCGGTAGACCACTCGGCCCCATCGCGAGCGCCAGAGGTAGCAGATGTAGCTGGTGGCCAACAAAATTGCGAGCCAAATTGTTCGGCCCATCGCTCCAATCGTCGTTGAAGATTGGTGATTAAAGTGCCCTCCTCTTCACATATTGTTTCACTTATACCAGATCGAACACCTTCGGTAACTCGAATGCCACAGAGACTGGCAAGCTCCATCTCCCTAGCACGTTCACGCCACCAAGCTTCGCGGTCCATTTGCAGACTCCTGCACAACTCGACCAAGGGATTAGCGTTCTTCACTGTGTCTGGAATCCGACTGGATCAAGCGGCGTTTGTCCATCAGCCACAAGGAGACGGCGGAAATCCAATGCTTCGGTGGGTGACGGGCAACTCCACAGGTGTCGATACTGGTGGAAACTAAAGCATATTTGATCTGCGCCCACTTCGAGTCGAGGTCACCGCCAATAGTTGAGCTAAGCAAACTTGACAATGAGGCTTGGTACCGGGTTAAAGTCGCAGTTTTTTTTAGATTTGTGACGTCCGATCGGTAGTGAGCGCGTTTGGCTGATCCTCCGAAACGCATGCAAACCTTACCACGAACCATTGCGGGATCGGAGTCTAGATAAGTTGACCAGTACGATCGGCAGTCCGCTACGCTTCTGTGCCATTTGTAGCTGGGAGCACTTGCGTTTGTGAGGGCGGGCGCCAGGTAACAGTGTGTCTCCTCGAGTGCCGAAAACTAGTGCTCGAAAGATACAAGCGATGATCAGAGCAAATAGCAAGCAGTCTGTCTCCATTGTCTGATCGACTGCCACCGAGACCAAACTACCCCCCAGGTGGTGCTCGCTTGGTGGAAGGCGACCAACCCGTGCGTTAAAGTCCCCGGCAAGAATGACTATATCAGTTCTTTTGGAGGAACGCAGAAGTTCATGTAGCTGCTGGTAAACGCTATCCTTGACTGCATCCGGGCTGCAGCCTCGGCGCGTAGCCGGAGATGATAAACAAGTCGTGCTTAACTTATCCACGCCTGCTTACATTACATGAACCTCTTAGTCTGACTGCACAGAGCCAACTGTTGACTGGGATCCATTCAAGCAGAGCTGATTCGGCCCTGACACTCAGTGCAACCCCAACACCAGCTTGGCCAGAGGCCGCAGCTTCTGGGTCTCCGGAAAGGCACAAGTGGTATTTGGCGTCAGGGTTTACCTGAGAGGCCATCCTTATGACGGCGCTAGAGTCTTGTAATCTGGTCTCTGAAAAGCAACAGATGTCTTCCTAGAGCCTTTCAAGAGTACGGGCCAGACATACTTGTCTTCCGATCTGCATCAATGTTCGAACATTAAACGCTGCGAGGATGAATGGAGAACCAGGTCTAAGAAGAGCTGGAGCTTCCGTCGAGTGAGAGGCGGCTGCGATCGCAGAACATTGAAAACCGGGAGTTTGGCTGCTACTTCCATCAGTTGCCAGACGTGGGTCGTTTGTGAAGGTGACCGAAGAAGAAATACGAGTACATATAGGTGAAGGACGGGAGGTGGGATGATCTGTGAGTGGAAGTTGAGCACTTGAGTTAGCATAGAAGATGGGCATAACAGGAGCAGTAGTAAGCAGTGTGGTCCATGATTCGTCAGTGGGCGTGAAACTACTCGGTTCCCCAGGCCGAAGTAGAGGGTTGTCTTAGGGGCCCTACCCAGAGGCTTTAATCAAAGATGTAACCTACAAGGCAGCAGGGCGATGTGAGGGCGTCGCAACCCGTTGGGAGCCGGTGACCAAGTAGATGGTTCATACGCCTTTCGGTCCGTGAAGGACCATGGGCCCAACGCACCCTTGGAGTAAAATGCCTCTCAGCTAGGGGCAAGTGTCAATGACTTTATTTAGTGGCGTGTCGCATCCGCCACGTCACAGTGTTGTTACACAGACATGTGTGGCTTTTTGTGAAAAGAACGCTTGCCAGTCGAAAACCCACCACGTCCTGGAACAATTCTGCCGAACTATTTGCTGGAACGGGGAAAACCGGAACCACCCAGCTGGCATCACGAGGAGGTTGTTCGGTTGAGTTACTACTCTCCTGCGTCCCGTGTACACCGCTTCAATAGCTTACGGTTTAGTTTTGCTTCGTTTCTTTTCTGTGTTGCTCTTACTACCACGACTGTTTTCTGCTGTCAAGTATACGCTTGACAAACAACACTTTAAGAAATCAGTACGCCTTGGAACTGGAACAGGTTTTAACTGGTACAGATTTATCAAAATGCTTGTTACCACTCATGGACTACCCAACTACAATATTTCCGACCAAATGGTGGCAACGAATTTGTTAGTTACATTAAAGTACCTGTAATGGATCTTTCGCTCTCTCCTCCTAGTGACAGCGCATTTCTCCAACACAGCAAAGCTGATCACATTAGCGTTTGCACATTACCTTAGATCAGACGGGTTTGTCACTATTCCCGTGGAATTCTCCTACGTACGGCACTTGTACATACTCGCAGCCTCTCTTGCTCCATCTGCTCGTACACATGAACTTATCCATCGCTTTAGGCAGTTCTTCGACAGCGGTGAAGGCTTTGAAGTGGGTTTGACTGCATTTGCTGTTTTACTGCATATTGCACATGTTCAGCGTTTACATAGTGCTTCGGTCCGTCTCCTGGAGAGCAGTGTTGTTAACCCTTCCCCATCCTAAGTGATAGTCGACCACTCGGTAAATTTTTCACTGCAAAGTAACCTGCGAAGACGGTAATGTTTTTTGCAATATAAACGGATCTATCACAATGTGACCGGACCTTGCCGTAATGCGATGGTTTGCGTGCCTCATCACGTTTGTCCGGAGATGACGCAGTCGGAGTGGGCATTACTCTGAGCCCCTAGTCTGAAGCCGTTCTGGTCGACTGGATCTTAATCAGTAGCCGCATTTGCGCCGTCCAATCGGCAGGCTCGCTCAATGCTTCGAAGTCGCGTGCGGTAACTAAGTGCCTGTTTGTCATTGCTGCCTACATTCCAACAAACTGAATCGCTGACCTGGTGAAAGACGACTTTATCGTCAACAAAACGACCTCCTTCGTTCCAGATGATGTCCTGATACTGCGGTGCTCACTAGTGATCTGAACGCTGAAGTTTGAAACTTTTTCAGGGATGAGCCCCATCTGGGCGACTAAAACGTATTGATAGTGGTGAACGATTGTCTATTTCCCACTAACATCAACTTCCGATAGCACCTGTCGCAGAGTGACATGGCGCTCGCCAGCCATGGCTGCAAATCCATCACATTGTGATCAGTTGCTGCTATAGTGGCTGCGTCCAAAACTGTCACTCGATTTGCAGCACGAGTGTGAACTGTGCACTTATAAGTGCTGGTCTGTAGATGCGTTTCAGCGGTCTCATGCGGCGACACTCTTGCATCAGCAGTACGCCGGTACGCTGTATCGACGTTTCACTGTCGTGCAACCACCAACGGTCGCAAATAAGCTAAGCATACTGCGATAGTCGCCTGGTTTATACGCAGGCTCGAATCCTCGCCCTCAGATTACAAGGCAGGCATGTGATCCTTAGGGCTACGAGCCAGCGCGAAGGTAATGTAGATACATAAACTTGCCAATTGATGAGGCTAGATGTTCTGAATGCAAATCAAACTGCTCTGGCATGCGGGCTGAGTAATTCCTCACTAAATACAGTTTCCGGTCACTGGTCACAGGTTCACCAGAGCTTATTAACGGCCGGCATGTTTTCATAATTGCTAGCTTGCGCACATGTTCTTTACACAGTCTCTAGATGCTCACTGACACATTCCGACTGGAAACGAACTCTCAAAGAACAGGGCAAAGCTGCGTGCTATTCTGAAGACAACCCGCGAAGCCTGATCGTCTCATCGTGCGTCGGACATGGAAACATCCGCCGTCCTTATTAATCATCGCAGGTTATTACGGGAGACGAATAGCAGGAAACCTGATATTGGCGAAACTGTATGCGATGAGAGTAGACAACCTATCGAACGATGCCTATCCGTTGCTGGTAGCTCAGCTGGCATGCAACTGTTGTATCTATTTTTCCTTTATGTATTGTATTATATGTCTGCATGTATTTCCTTCATGTATTGCGGCACAATAGCGGAGGTGTTTTCCCACCTCTGGCTGATGTGTATAATGATGATGATGATGAGACAACCTATCATTAACCTGTCGAACTGTTTAGTATGTTGGGCTAAGTACTTTGAAAAGCAATTTAATCACTCAGATTTCTCCGCACACGCTTCAAACTCAACATACGGTTATGCGACATTTAAGCATCTGGCTCTCGTCAGATCCATTCTTTCGGTGTACCCAGTCTATTACAGCGTGCATGAGCGACCTTTCCATTTTTGCATGTGCGCTACTTGATTCTAAATGTCAAAGTGACACTAACCCCACTAAATCGCTGTGTCTTTTGCGCCCGTTTGATAAACCCAAATTTCACATTCGCATCCGTGGTGTTCCAGATAAACACACCGACCTTGGCTTTTCGACTATCCTTGATGACATACCTATCTACTGCTCTCAAGCCCACTCGCTTGCACTCAACAATGGTTGCACCCTGAGTATGTGTGCGTGTGTGTACTTGCAGCGGTTTTATGCTCATTGATCCCTATCTTCCTGTTGCACTTAGCAACCATTCATACTACACTTGCCTCCATGTGGAGAGACCAGCATGCACGGCACCACTTTCAGGTTGTTTCCTTTAAATACCTCTAACTAGACGTCACAAATGCATGTGGATGACGCGTTTTTGAGTGGGATCCATGGAATCGGCTTTAATCATTGTTGAGGGCTACGCAGTATGATGTGGTCGACCCAACAGCTGCACACTGTATTCCCTACCATTTGGGCAGTCCTTTACGTTCAGGTTCCCCGCACTCTTTCTACACTACCGACTAAGCGAAGTAGTTAGGTCCACCATCCCTCAGTGACTCTCAATCACACTATTCGTCTGTGCTTAATAATTTGCACACATTCCGTTTTTCCTTGACGGTCGCCGGCGTTTCGAAAACTGCTGCATACGTTCCCATTAGAATCAACTTACTCCTAATATCTCAAGAACTTTTCCGGAAGATTTTGCTTCCAATCCTCTCTCTTTTGAGTTACCTATTTTTGATGCGGATACCATTGACTCGTAATACAAACATATCTATTTCCCGAAATTCCTCGAGGCTGTGCTCACAGAGGACATATCAAGTTTCAGATAAGTTTGCAGTTCGATTAGATTAGAGTGGAAGAGTAGAGTAGTAGCATGATGCAACATCGTATATAGTAGGGCATGGATTTGAGGGTTGAGGATAGCACGGTGAAGCGATATAACTTCAGTGAAAAAGGCTAAAGCGCAGTACAGATTGAGAACAATTCAAATCCAACCGACTTGTACTCCAGCTGATGGTCGACATTTCTGCTCCGCGTACTGTATCTGATTTTGCCACAGTTTCGGTAATTTGTATCTTCGTTCAGGCGTCGTAGCCTTAGTAACCAGCCATTATCAAAGCTGCAGAGTTTGTCTTTCAAGTTTATCTGATTCCAGTCTGTTTTTTCTCTCCAACACCTATTTTTCACCTACTTATGTTCACCTCTCTTGTCTCATCTACGAAGTCACTACTTTTTTTTACCCCAAAACTACACGTTATGTTGCCTTTCAGATCCTTCGCGGCGAATATGTATTGGTGCCTTATCTGAGCCGAGAAGCATCTTCTATGTTATCAAAGGTAAGTCGTTTTTCTGCCGTCGTTCATACTCACCTCAGCATTGATTGTTGTAAACTACATTTCTCTCCTCATCTGCGCCCCTGATAATGCTACTAGTTTTGTTGGCATCTCAGTTAAGATATTTCAAAATCGCGACTACTCCTCACGGACCCTATTAACACTAGCTCAGCGTTTTATCGTCGGCATTCTATGCATTTGACTCCGCTGATTTTATGCTTGCTTACTTACTCTGTAAAAATGCTATGTGCTGCTGGCCGATTCCCAGATATCCAGTTGGTCATCCCCTGTGGTGGGCGCGACAAACCCAACTACTTCTATTCCCATTGTTGTTTATCACCACGCCATTGCCACAGCCTGCATTTTTATGAAATATCGTTTATTCCCCTTGTCCTGTTCTTGCTCCCGTTATTCGTACTTATTTAATTTGGACGCTAATCTTTTACACCACTGATCCGGCATCCTATTCGAAGCCCCGCAACAAATGGAGTGCATCGGGTTTGACCTGTCCCTCTTAACCATATCATATAACTATTCGTCACTGATTCTTTCGCTTTCCACACGTTTTGGGTGGGAGGTTCTGCTAGGTGACTAACAGAGTTCGCACTCAGCTGCCATGCAGGCACTGTTGAGGAGGCTTTGTGCCTTTCGCGTAGGCCTTAGTACCCCCCAAAACACAGGACTGCTACGGCGTTGGGCGGACACAACATCGTTCCTCATCCTCACTGTACATCCACTCGAATTGGTCAGTCGATTTACTTTTCTGTGTAACAACATCGCCTATGCTGGTCACATCGCCCAAGAGACTAATACTTCTTCGATCAGCCACCACTGATATGGACTTTAGGATGCAGACCTATTGGTTGACGGAACAGTTTCCGATGCACTTTGGGACCAGTATTGCTGTTAGGGTCAAATCCTTGACTACTAGAGACTTCTCGGGACTGCTGACATCCGGTGAGCGAACTGAATGCGTGCTACTGGAGTTTGTCATATACTGTTTAGAATCATCGAAACATCTGCCTATGCCGAATCGAATTCATCTAAATTGTGCTTCGTGTACTTACGGACTGTATTGTCCACCAGTCCTGTGCCCAGTTAGATGTAACTCCTAGGTGCCCAGCCACTGATATTGAGAGAACGCACGAGAAAACACCGAGAGCTGAACTAGGTTTTGTGCCTATTGTCTTCCTATCCGTTGGCCTAGCAATTAACCACACGCTATCTTACGTTTTACATTCGCGAAGTCAGTACGCCCTTGGATACGTCATCGTGTTCCGGACCGTTAATTTTTCTAACTGACTCATTTTTTCTCGCTTATTTAATTATCTGTTTCTTTTACGCATTCATCTTAAATTGAGAAAATAACCGACATAAGGTCGTTATTTTCGCAGCTGGATCCATCACATTTTCGTTCCCGTATCACAGCCAATAATCTTAATAGTACTGTTCATCGATGGGTCCGTAGTTATTAACTGCCTAACTACCAACTTGCACATGACTAGTGATAACCATAGTGACTGCCTAGACTGAATTGTCATATTTTGCCTCGCTGCATTTGAGCCGTCTTCGACAGCTAACTGGGCCTCAAAAATCTAGGGTCGGTGAAAGCTAGACTAACTCCTGTCTCGGTGGCGGGTTCTTTGCCACGTTTTTGCGATTCCCCAGTCAACACATCAGTGCCACATACGGAAGACATAATGCGAGCGTTTAATTTACTTGGAGCTTGAATTTGGTGTTGCTTTTCGCGTTCTCCTGCGGTCCCGCCTTTCTCTGCATGGTGTGCTGAATCAATTCCTCCCTATTCTCAATTCCGTTACTGAATTTGGCAACAAGAGAGCGAAATACAAATCTATGTTGCACTTTCGAAATTTACTCCGGCACACACACAGCATCATTCCATTTGTTCCTACACATTCAGAACATATTATGGCTATACAAGAGCGATACGTTCCTTAAACCTGAACTTCACAAAATAGTTACCTAGGTACTTCTTGAATTCCGATACCAGTTGCGCCTCGACTATTTTGCTCGGAACAACTCCCAATGTTGCACCAATTGACCTTCGAAGCATCAACTACGGGCTATCCTATTCAGATCCGGTACCGGGGTCTGCGTGTACTGCTTGGTGCGCGCATGTGCATCAGCGGCTTTAGCGTGTGGAAGTCACCACTGAAGCAATCCCGTCTGATTGCAATCTAGTAGATATCGTGCCCGTGTTCAAACAGGACGCCCGGTCAGACTGTGCTAATTTCAGATGGATTATTCTTATCTGCGATGCAACTAAAGTGCTCACCGCCCTGCTTTTAAGGTGGCTCAACCTGGTACACGAACAGAACATATGAGAACAGCAAGCTGGGTTCCGCTCTGACCAGAATTTTATCGATCACATCTTTACTCAGCCAAATACCCGAACAACCTACCGAGGGTTGTCAAACGTTTGGCCGACCAGCGATCGTTGTCTTTTTAAACATACGAGCTGCGTTTGACTCAATTGACCGCACTGTTCCCTGGAACAGTCTTTTGAGAATGGGGCTGCCTGAGAAGTACGTCAACATTCTTCGAGCCATCTACTCTTGAACCTCGGGCTAAATGCGGGTGTACGGCGAACTTTCGCCCCCTGTAGTATCACCAGTGGCATGAGACGGCTGACTTGTCTCACCCTTCCTGTTCAATTTCGCTATAGATGACATCCTGGAGAACGCTCTGGAGAACTGCGGACCCAGTGGTGTTAATCTGCTTCCGGGAGGGCCGACATCACGAATTGAAGTATGCAGACGACATCGCCATAATTTGCTGTTCCCCACAGGCCGTCCAAAATAGGCTGTGCAGGTTGGAAGTGTATATCTCCCGGTCTGGAATGACCTTCGCCACTTCGAAGTTTAAGGTCTTCGTACAGGACTGGCTGACTGCCTCTTCAGGTCATTCTCTGGAAGTGGTAGACAAGGTCGTTTACCTTGGAAGCTGCATCAGCGTTAACGGTTGAGGTCTCTTTGCGTGTATCTAATTACCGGGTTGCGTTTGTTAATCTCCGCCATCTCTGACGTCGACGCGACCTGAGCCTATTCTTGATGGGCTGCTGAGAGCGGTCCTGCTCTACGGTTGTGAAGCTTGGCCTGTTCGCCCAAAGGACGTTCGAAAGCTGTCTGTCTTTGATCACCGCTGCCTTTGGAGCATTGCTGGTGTATGATAACTACACCACATCAGTAGTGAGAATGTTCGCCGAAGAATTTTCGGGTCAGACTTCACCGGCCGCTGAGCCGCACAATTTCGCTGCATAGGCTTCAGTTGCTTGGGCACTTGCTTCTCATGCCTACTGAGCGTTTGCCTCACCTTGTACTCTGCCCACACAGAAGTCGGCTGGAAGCGGAGACAAGGGGGCCAGCGAATGACAGGCAAATATCATGAAGGTGCTGACCTCACATTTGGCCGTAGTCAGGTGCTCTTGACTCCCTGGTTGGGGTGCAAGGATCACGAGCACACTTGGCTGGAAACACTTTCGGGCATGTCAAGACACGGTGAGCAATGGCAAAATCTGTTGTGAGACTCTACCCCCATAACTGCAGTTTTAAACTTTTTTAAATCTTTTATTCGCTCATTAGTGTTGCATTGTATTTGTGCATACGTCGTGGCGCTCTGCCATTTGTACTGTTGGCCAAGTGTTCTATATATATATATATATATATATATATATATATATATATATATATATATCGAATGCAGCGCACCTACAAACGCTGCGCCGGTTCTGTCTACGTTCTCTGCAGGACACGAGATCCCTACGGTGGTGGTGCCGAGTGGCCTGGCTCATGGCTCACTAGGCCTGCCTGACTCAGGCACTCGCGACCGCATGTGCTACAGCACCATGCGCTCGATGTCGATGGAGTACAACCCATCCGCGCTTGCCGCTTTATCTCTGCATGTATGCGATCTTTCTCTCGCACCTCGGCAACTGCATTCGTGATCGGATCGCGCCATGCACGCCGACCAACCGCCTTCGATTCCTCATTACCTGCAATCAAGATTAGAACGTGAGAGGATCATTTTGATCATGTCCCGGCAACGTAACTTTGCCACATGCCGCTTCCCAATACTCAGCTAACCACATGATAGTTGTTTCGGTATCCGCGTCGAATCCATACGCCACACATGACCGAGCCACCTAAGGTGTCTCAGCAAAAGTATGCAGTCCACTGCATACATTCCACTTCGGCGCAACACTTGCGTGTCTGCAACTTTATCGCACCAAGCAATGCCTAGAATCCGTCGCAGACACTTGATGAAACTGCTCTAGATATCGCATATCCCGCCGGTACATCGTCCACGTTTCACTACCGTATAGAAGAACGGATAGCACCATGGCTTTGCACACCATCAGCTTCGTGCCAATGGTAAGCTGATGGTTGTTCCACACTCGGTACTCAAGCTTCCCGGATGTTGCCGCTGCCTTCGAGACGCGGATACGCAGCTCATTGTGTAGCTGCTGGTCAGTCGACATTACACTCCCAAGGTAGCAGAAGTGGGTGATTTCCATTACTGATTTGCGGCAATCTTGAAGGGTGCACATCCGGTAAAGGCTGAAAGAAACAGAGAGTTTTGCTTGTGTGATGGTGAGCCCGAAATTGGCCCCTGTCGAAGCCAGTGCACATCAGACACAGCCACCTCGAGGACATTAAGCAGCAGCCAATCACACGAAATGTCGAATAAGATAGATGGAAAACACCATACAGACATGCCGCTACGTTGGCATATGAAATTAACGGATTATCAAGATAGCCGTGATAGTTTCAGGATGGCAGAAAAAAGGATCTAGTCACATATGTAAGGAGAAAATAATAAGCCGTTGACCACCTTTAGTTTGATAGATTATCCAGGTACACATTAAAATGAGGTAACAAAATAACAGCGAGACGAGGTAGCAAACCAAAAACCTGAAAAAACAGCACACAGGCACGCAGTTAGTAAATCGAATGCCGCGTATCTACCCACACTGCGCCGGTTCT